TACAGTCACTTTCATATTTGAATATTAAACATATGCAAGATTATTATTGTACCAGCAATAAATTACATACCCACATTCTCAGCTGTGACAAGAGCTTTTTTCACCTCAATGAGACATGCTGTCCACAGTGGTGAGTAGCTTCAGCACCATACTCAGCTGCTGTCTGACTCAGAAAGTTCAGTATGCAGGCTGTAATAAAAGTGTCAACAGATACTGTCTTCCTGTTTTTCCAATGTTGCATAAAGCTGGTATGTGTGTATCATTTTCAGATGTCGCATCTGGGTAGAGAACTGCCGCAGAGCAGACCTAGAAGCAAAAACATCAGACCAGTTGAACAAGCACTACAGATTATGTGCCAAACACTTTGACCCAGCCATGGTGTGCAAAACAGTGAGTATCTCACACAGGTTTAACATGCCTGACTGTAAGTTTCCACTTATTTCCCCAAAAATGTCTTACCTGAGTTTATTGCTTTTCAGAGCCCTTATAGGACTGTATTGAAGGATACAGCCATTCCAACCATATTTGATCTGACCAGCCATCTAAGAAATCCCCATACCAGACATCGCAAGCGGATTAAAGAACTTGTAAGAAAAATGTTTATAAGCTCTGCTGTTTTAAATGCACCTCTTAAAGGGTAACTTCAGTATTTTCCAACCTGGACCTAATTTTCCGATGTGTTTGTGTGTAAGTGACAAATGGGAACAACACTTTATGAAATTGGTCCATTATTGAGTGAGACAAGCATGGCTGCAATGTAATCCCTGCAAGCAACTGAACACCATCAAATTATGTCCAATAAGAGTGCTTGTTTTTGCCACTGACAGGCTCAAATAGTTATTATAAATGTCTGACAACTTATGGAAGAGATCCCTACAGAGATTGTCTGTAGATCCTTTTTGTTTAACCAGAAAAAGACCATAATAGCCATTGACAGAAACATCAGACTCCATTCAAATAAACAGTAATTTTAGCCTGTAGAGAAAGCACATTTTCATATCTAACTGGGTAAATAAAGGGTTTATTTCAACCAATCCAGAGTTAGTGTTGTTGGAACAGTGGAGAGATGAATCAAGACAGCTTTTGGGAGTTTTATTTTGCTTCTGTTGACTTTAAATGAAGTGTGTTTTACAATGATAAAATTACATATTTTTCAAATGAAGTCTGGTGGGTTTGATGACAATCCAACAATCACAAACTCTGTTTTAGTTGAAATAAACCCTTAATTCACTCAGATAGATGTGAAAATATGCTGGCTTTACACACACTTAATCTACTTTCTATTTAAACGGAGTCTGTTGTGTTTGGTGATAACGAATTTGGGTCTGTTTCTGTTTAAACTAAATCTTACTCTTTAACAAAGAGGCCGACTTCTGTAGGGATCCTTTCAGAAGACTTAGAATAACAATCTGAGCCTTTCAGTAGCAAAAACAAGCAATTTTATTATTTGGAAATTGATAGTACTCTATTGCCTGCAGGACTTTCATTGCAGCTGATTTCAGGTAATAAGGTCCAGGTTCTAAAATACCTAAGTTACCCTTTAAGCTTGATAGTTTAAACATCTGTTGTCAGATTTTTGTAAATTAACTTAATCTTTTCATTTCAGACTGAAGAAGATATAAGGAAGATGAAAGAAAGGAGATGTAAGTTTATAGATATTTATGGTCATAAATTTAAATAATTGCATGTTAATTTTATTTAGTATAACTGAAAATGATCACTGTTCCTTTTTTGTCTGTCTCTCTCTCTCCCCAGTGGCGTCCTCTATTGAGCAACTTGCCTCCAAAAAAGATGTAGCAGCCGAGGATAGCACGAGCGCCAATGACAATGAACCTCAGCTGTCCACAGAGGAGAAGGAGTTCCGTGAATACTTGCGGTCCTTGTTTGAGGTCGTGGTCATGTTAGGAAAACAGAGTATCCCATTAGTGGCTGGCAAAGCATCTGAAGCTGAGCACGTGTCCAGCAACTTCCAGGCCCTTCTAGATTACCGCATGAATGCTGGTGACGAAGCTCTGAAGAAGCGGTTTCGGGCGACAGCTGTGAACACAGAATACCTCTCTGCGACCCAGCAGAGCCAGCTGTTGGATGTCTGTGAGAACACAGTGAGAGAGGAGATGCTAATGGAGGTGAGAGAGAGTCGCTTCTTCTCTCTAGTCACAGGTGACCTTGTTGAATTTGCCAACGAGAAACACCTGCCTCTATTTTTACGCTTTGTGAATCAGCACAACGTCCTTCGAGAGGAGTTTTTGGACTTCATGTCGTTTGATGGTGATGAGTCTGCGCTGGCAGAGAGGCTGGAGGCCCAGCTGACTGATCGTTGGGGACTCAGCATGGAGGACTGCCGTGGTCAGGGCCACAAGGCCACTGGGACATCCACCACCAAGATGAAAGCTGTGGCAGTATTGCTGATGGAGAAGTATCCCCTGGCATTGCACATGCCTTGCTCTCATATGGCACTGAACATCCACCTGGCCAGCAGCCTGCCTTTTCCCAATGTCCAGGTCGTCATGGAGACTCTGAGGAGGATTGGGGCTTTCTTTAGAACCCCGTTTACTCAGGATGAGCTAGAGAAAGCTATCGCTACTCACTACCAGAAAAATGAAGAGAAAGCAGCTACACTGAAACAAGCCTGCGGCCCTGGATGGACAGAGCAGCACAATGTCTTTGATGTGCTGTTAGATATGTTGCCACCCCTGCTGCTGTGCATGGACAATGTTCGGGACAATGACGATGGAAAGTTTACAGATGCTGTCACAACGGATGCATATGCAGTCACAGAAACTCTGTCTGACTTTGAGATCATCGTCACCATCGTCATCTTAAAGAATGTTCTCACATTCACTAGAGCCTTCGGGAGGAATCTCCAAGGAGAAACACTTGACGTGTTTTTTGCAGCCAACAGTCTAACTGCTGTCCTGCATTCCCTAAACGAGGTCAATGACAACATTGATGTTTACCATGAATTCTGGTACGAGGAGGCTGTGAGTCTGGCCAATGTAATGGAGATTCCCGTGAAGGTGCCGAGGCTGTTCCTCCGGAAACAGCGTGCGGCCGATGTAGGTGAAATCCAAGCAGAGGCGTATTTTAAGGAGTACGTCACTGTCGCTGTTATTACCGGCATCATGCAGGAGGTGGAGGACATGTTCTCTGAGACCAACCTCAAAGCTCTCAAGTGCCTGTCACTGGTCCCAGCTGTCATGGGCCAAATGAAATTCAACACCACCGAGGAGAACTACGCAGACGTTTACCGCAACGACCTCCCCAACCCGGAAACCCTTCCTGCGGAGCTCCACTGCTGGAGAATCAAGTGGAAGCACAGGGGCAAAGAAGTGCGCCTGCCCACCACCATTCACGAAACCCTTCAGCTGCCAGACGTCAAGTTCTTTCCCAACGTGAACTCCTTCCTCAAGGTGCTGTCCACCTTGCCAGTGCTGAAACTAGAGGACAACAAAAGCAACACAGCGAGTGAACGGCTGCAAGCTTATCTGGACAGCATGCCGGCTAAGCAGTGGAACAAAAGTCTTGCAATGCTTAACATTAACACTCATGTCAAACATGACTTGGATGTCATGGTAGACAAATATTGCAGACTGTATCCAGAGGACGATCCTGAAGCTGAGGCCGAGGCTGAGGAAGTGGCTGAGGCTGAGGAAGTGGCTGAGGCTGAGGAAGTGGCTGAGGCTGAGGAAGTGGCTAAGGAAGATGTTGCGAAGAAATGAAGCAACACAGACACTGAGCCTGCTTTGCTCCTCTGGGACAAAATGACTGAAACACTTGTCAGTCAAATGCATCCTCTTGTGGTTGCTAATCTGTGTGTCTGTTGGTGTAAGTACACCTTTATACAAGTACTAATGCTTTTAATGCAGATATTAATGGATTTGTCGTCAACCCCTGAGTTTGCCCAGAAAAATGAAATGACCGTTGTTCTTATTTTATGTGGTAAAAAATAATGCATTGCAGCTTAATCTCACATTATAAATGAGCAAATCTGGCATGAAGGAAATATTAAAATAAATGAACAACACCTCATGGACACTCAACAAAATGCCCAGAGATGTGAGGCCGTGTTAATAACACGATCTGTAAATAGCTCTGATACTTTGTCAGTTTGTTTTATTATTAAACTTTCTTCCTTTTTTTTACTCGTCACATTCACATTCGGCTCATTTACTGATCCCTTTTCTTTCCTGTGTGCTTTTTATGCACATGATGGAGGCAAGTCTTGTGCACACTGATATCTTTCACTGACTATGAAGTAGGGAGAGCACAAGAGGGAGCAGTTACACCAATATCAGAAGTATCCCTGGATCCATGCTCAATAGGAAGACATTTTCATAAACTAGAAGCTTACACTGCTAGTGTGACCTATTTTGGATTGTTATAAAGGCTCATATGTTGGAGGGTCACCTCTTTAAAGGGCACATATATACAGATGGAAAACAAAAGTAGGGAGCTGGACACAACTCTGGATGTAGCAGTATTTGTATGTTATTGTCATTATTTATGGCAAGATGGTTCTTTTTGCAGCCACATAAACGTGAACTTGTCATTTTTTACCTACTTTTACAGTGTTTTCAGTTTGATTTAATAAAAGGAATTTGTACAGAAAGCAAAATTGAGGCACTTTGAGTCAGCTTTGTGGCAAAAATATACTTGTGGCTTTATTTCAAATGTTACTTTCTTCAGTTGTGTGCATACTTATGGATGCATCTTTGAATGCAAACACCACATTGAAAACTTGTAAATGTTAAATGGGGACACAAAAAAGAAGAATAAATGTAAATATATGGCTCTTGCAATTTGATACATGGAAAAGTAAACCCCTCTCCAGCAGCATTATCGGCCATTTCCTCCACATGCAACAACAATAGGCTGCAGCCACATCCTCTCTAGTTCTAAGTTTTTCTGACATGGCAGCACAGGGGTTAACCATGTCTCCTCCCTCTCTGCATGGCCAGACGGTGACGAGCTCAGGTGATAGTTCACCGTGCAAACTCACAGTGCAGACCCCGGGCATCTCGTAAGCATCACACAAATGTGGGTGGGGTCGCTTTGATGCGCAACCAGACAGCAACGTGCACTCCACAGCAAAACCCCAAAGTCCATTTAAACTTCAGAACAAATAGCCTGCAGGAGGAGACAGTGGGAGGCGTGGGGACTTCTGCTTTCCTCAGTCTCCTGCAAAGCTCGGTGAGCGTAGAGAATTGCATAAAGCTTTAAGGAGCAATAACCCTGACTGGGCAGAAACTGAGAGGGCACAGGGGGAGAGGAGGAGCACTTCCAAGTCTTCAAGTCGTGAGTAAGACGTTTATTTACTCCTTTATCCCCAATCTAGAGTTTTTTTCTGCGCATATTTTGCCTCCTAGTATTTATCACCATGGCATGGCCGTGCATTACGCGTGCTTGCTGCATCAACCGCTTCTGGAGCGAGCTGGACAAAGCGGACATCGCGGTGCCTTTGGTTTTCACCAAATACTCGGATGTGGCCGACGTGCAGCATCTTCCACATCACCCGCAGCCGAGGCAGAAGAGGGCCGGAGCCATTGCCATAGAAACCCAGCCCCATCTCGGCGAGCAGGAGGCTGGGAAGGCACCGCCCGCGACGGGTGCCGCAGCGGGCAAAGATGGCTCTACTGCGTCCGTCATGCGCCAAGACTTCAAGGCGTGGAGAGTGCGCCCCGAGCCCAGCTGCAAACCCAGAAACGAGTACCAACGCTCGGCGGCTCCGTTCAACACCGAGACTCAGTATCAGAAGGATTACAAGCCCTGGCCTATACCGAAGAAGCACGACCACCCCTGGATCCCCAAACCCAGCCCCACCGCCACCTCCTCCGCTGGGCCGGAGCGGAGCGGCAAGCTGGAGCACGCGGCCGCTGAAGTGGAGAGCGGCGTGGAGAAGAGCGAGATAGAGGAGAAAACACACGAGAAAGAGTCAAAGGAGGTGCCCAAGAAGAGTGTGAAGAGGGAAAAGTCAGCAGAGAGACAGACGGGTGAGAAGACGGAGGAGCAGGTGCCTGCAGATGTGAGCGTCGAGCAGAGGAAAGGCAGAGCAGCTGCAGACGCTCTCAACAGACAGATAAAGCAGGTGATGTCGACTTCCAGCAGCTACAGGTAAGTCTGCAAAGAGCGAGCCTTCATCATACACACTCATATCATGGGAGTTAATTTATTCTAAGCCCTCAGAAATAAAAGCCTTTTCCTTTCACTGTGGCTTCATGATGGTTTACAACTGAGGCATATTTAATTCTGACGCCAACAGTGCTGCATTCAGGTACCCCCCTGTTACACAACATTACCACATGTCAGCTAACCCACTATCCTCTGTGAGACACACTCCTCTGTCCAGAGATCATCAAGCACAATCTGGTGTTTCATGGTCTCTTGTTACCATCTCCAGCCATCCCCAAAGCAAACTGATATTGCCACAGATAAAGGTTGCATTATTGATTTGTTCCTCCCTAAGAGTACTACCAAATCAATGCAACGGCCCATGAATGAGTACAGCCAGTAAACTGGTCTGAATGTAATCATGTCTTAATGTGGTTTATGTGCACAGGCTTCCTCTGAATTGAATTACGGTTGCGTGATGCATGCAAGTTAACAAGACTCGCCGGCTTCAGTCTGCCCCACTGAAACATTTAAGTGAACACACACCAGTGTCTTCTTCTTTGGTTTTAGTTTGTTAAAGAGAACTCAAGTGAGCAATAAACTCAATGTGCAACTTATTGAAGAGCAGTTGTGATGTGCTCTGTGAGCAGTGATACAAATTGAATCTGATCAGGCCTACATAATTAATGACATGCTAGATTAATAATTGGCAGTTGTAGGTTCTCGAGGAAGAACACAGACCACACATGAAAAAACACTAGAGATGACCCCCGTTCTTCAGATGTTGACATGACATTTATGTTATGTGCTGATTACAACAGGCAAATAATGATAAGAATAATAATAACAATAATAAGCAATTCGTATGTATTTTAGTATAGCAGCAAGAATAATAAGAAATCTCTTTTCCTAACAGGGGAGACCAGGGTTGGTTGGTACACTGCTATTTTCTGGGCCTTTGAAGGTCACAGAAACAAAAAAAGTAGCACCAAAATGTCAAAAGCTTTTCTTTACCCACACTCATCTATCATGTTAAAACACTGGAAAGTCACTAACTTTTTTAGTGAGGGTAACATTTCGGTTTTATAGCATCAAAAATAAACAAAGTGGTCTGTGGACTAAATGTATTAAAAAACTGTGTTAGATAGAGATATTGGAAAAGTGTTACTTCCAGTTAAAAGATAAATCTGCTACATTTGAATATAAGATTTGAAAGCCTGGGATGAGTAACGGTAGCTGGCTTACAAAATTTCATCACTAAGTTAATCAGATCAAATATGAGCAGGTTTGGGTGGCACACATGCCAGCTCATTGTAAAGTTAATAGTTCTACCTCTGACTGTATTTTGAGAAATTAAAACCATTTTGAAAGATTAAAAACAATGTTTATATTGTTATATACATATTTTCTGGGGGGGGGGGGCACAAATGCACAACTTGAAATAAACCAGGTACCAGCTAATGTTAGAAATTATTTGTGTGCATTAAAACTTGTTTAATTATAGCTGAGACCTTAATCTTTCATTTGCATCTGGTTAGAATATTCTAACATACTTTTTTAAAATCTTTATTTGATAGGGACGATGCAATTTAGCATAGATCCAGTCCAGAGTATGAGACTGTTGAGTTTATAGCTATTGCTAATTTTCAACTCGTGTCAGTACTTGGGCTTTTACATGTAGGCCTACACTGTTATCAAAATGTACAGCTTTAAACATAACAAAACCACACCATAAACATGGTAGGCACAATACAAAACATATACCACATACTACATTACACAGACCACAATACATACATCACAACATATACCACAATACATCTACTACAATACATGTACCACAATACACCAGTACACTTACACTATTACCCCTTAGAAGTGTGTGTGCACTTAGCTAAGAGTGGGTACAGCTTTGGTTTACTTTCAGCCAGCATTTCACCTTTGTTGTTTAATTTTGCCAGAGAAGAGCAGCAGAGAGTAAAAAGTGTGCCAACCAACCCCGGTCTCCCCTACAGTAGAGATTTTTTTTTACTCCTTATTATCCCTACCAGGAGTGTTTAAAGGTCCACGAGCCTTGATTTATCTTTTTAAAGAGTACACATTTCCTGTCTGTAAAACATGCTGCCATGTCAAGTCTTATTGAACTTAGTCAGTTGGGACTGAAGTTGCTATAAAGCATCGTAAAATGCATTGTTCATTTTCATCAATTCCAGTTACAGTAAACCTCCAGCTGAAACCATGTGTTGATCTGTCAATTAGCATGACCTAAAATTAATCAGTAACTATTCTGGTAATCGATTAATCGTGAACTTAACAGTCTCTGGTTCCAGCATATCCAATATGAGGGTTTGATGCTCTTCTTCCTCATGTTTAATTTGGGGAAATAACAGGCCCAAACCCAAACTTATTAGAATAACCGAAAATAAGTATATTATAAATAATTTGCAGCCATAAAAATCTCCCTGTTTGCTTTTTCCATTGTTCTCAGGACTGAGTTCAAGGCGTATAAGGATGTGAAGCCAGTGAAGCCCATTAAAGCTCCTTCCCAGTATAAACCCCCAGTGGAGGAGACCAGTCTGGAGACCAGCTACAGCGCCACATACAAGGGGGAGCAGGTGAAGGCTATCCCCACTGACAACAAGCTGTTGGAGCGCAGGAGGATACGCAGCCTGTACAGTGAGCCCAGCAAGGAGTCTGCCAAGGTGAGAGCACGTACTGGTGCCACCATGTACTATTAGTAGAGTTTCCTTTAAGTACAATGAATTACAGTCATGTCTAAAACTCTATTAGCTCTGCTGCTTTGTGATTTACAAACTTTGTCAGTTTTACTTTGTTTCGATTTGAGTTCTCACTCACTGGAAGAGCCACTGTGTAAATTATATTTTATTTTATAAGTCATCCAAGTCACACTGTGGCCCCATGGCAGGTGATTGGTTTTTATTAACAGTGGTGGAATTCAACAAAGTGCTTTTACTTAAATACTGATCTGAGATACTGTTACTTTACATGAGTGTTTTAATCTCATGCTGCGGTCTACTTCTGCTCCACCACACCTCAGATTTATGCACATAAACCATATGAAAATATACAGGTGCAGCTGAAATTATTAGGTAATGGATTAGAAAATGAATTGGCAACTATTGTGATAATCGTTTAAGTCATTTATCAAGCTTCTCGAATATGATGACTTGCGTTTTTTCATTTGAATTATTTTAATAATTCTGTTTTATTAAACTGATTTAGATTTTTCTGCATTGAGTACTTTTACCTTTAATGCTTAAATATATTTTCCTGAGTGTACTTACATACTTTTACTTTAGTAACATCTTCAATACAGGATTTTTACTAGAAACAGAGTATTTTAATAGTGTGGTATTAGTACTGTTACTTAAGGATCTGAATACTTCCTCCAAGACTGCTTATTAAACGCCAACAAAACTATTTCATATCACAATTTAACTCTTTGAAAGCTCTTATGCTGCTTTCAGATGCCTTTTGCAAATATTTAAACTTCTGAACTCTGAGCAAATTGGTGCAATTTCTTTCAAAACATGGGAAAAAGGGCAATGAGCAATTTGGTAAGATATGCTCCCCAAACTGCAAAAACAAATAAATTCAGAAAATTATTTTAAAAAAGCAAGGGATAAACTTTATTTATAATTAGCATTATTTTATATTTGAAACTATGTTACAGGATTATAATTTTCAAGCTATTTTTTCAGGAATTTCCTTGTTT